TGCAGTCCCCGGCAACGGCGCCAAAAATTTAATCGACGGATCGATTACAATTTTAAATCAACCCTTTTGCAATAGCACACATCATTGTAAAATAGGGCTATTGGTCGGGTAAGTCGAACCACTGGAATTGCTAGTTTATGGCAACTAAGGTGTTTAGAATCATTTTTAGAATAATGATGGGGTATAGAGGTTTATGAGAGTTGTTACTATAATTATGAATTGAAAAATGCATAAAACAGTAATGCTAAGAAGTAGAGAGGCAAAGACAATTACAAAGGGACTAGGGAAGTGAATCCGCACTAAACCTTGAACACATGTTAGATCAAGACTACATTGGGGATAGACAATATATATATGATGGTCAAGAATTATACAACAACACATGGTTACCTTATAATCATCAAGAAGTTTATTAAATCAAAATAAGAATGATCAATCAAAAGTTTATATATTTGAACTACCTAAACTAGGGTGTAGCATCAAACATACTATCTTAAGCAAAAGATCATTAAGCCTTCAATCAAATGATAAAGCACATGAAGTTAGGAATCAAGTATAAACCATCAAAGAGAATACCTAAGCAATGGACAATCAAGTTTCTCTATCAACATGCCATGAAAACCATTCATAATCTTATTTCCATTGTCACCATGAAAATGCAAGCATTATGATTAATATAAGAACCATCTAAGACAAGATAATTAACTTACATCAATCATTTATAAACATTAGAATTCATTACAAGAAGTAATATGCTCTAGATTATAAAAAGACAAAAAATTATACATTATTATCCCCAAAATAGAGCCTAATCTAGTATATGATTATAAGGGGAGGCTTCATCACCTCCCTAGATGGAGGTTTAGTTACCCATTACTGCAAGGAATGAAGAGGATGAAGAAGAAGAACTCTCCATTGTTGCACCTTGAGCTCCAAGAACACCCAAAACCTCTCAACCCTTTTTCTCCCTCTAGAACTTTACAAGAATGAGATATATCCTCCAAAAATAAGCCTCTCATCCTTTATCTACCCAAAATCTACTCTCCATCCACTCCATTATGAGCTCCAACCACCCTTGAGCCATTAGAACCACAGAAAATGCATAGGAGACAAGAATCAACTTGAATTCAGGATTAGGTGACCTGCTGTCTGCATATCGGCGGGCGCTTGCATCATCGAAGGCAGCTACTGGCAGGAATGGCGGGAGCCCGCGATGGCGCGGTGGGCACCTGTGAGAGCTCGGCGGGGTCCCGCGAGCCTGTCGCGGGGCCCCGTGAAACTAGGTAGAGAGTTGAGGAGTTGGCGGGCACCCGCAGGACCTTGAGGCTACAACTTCATCAAGGCTTCTTGTAAGCCTCTTCGAGCCGGAGTGTTGACGCGGTCTCCACTTTGAACACTAAGCCACGAACTCCAAGCATACGAGGACTCAAGAGGCCAAGCCAAAAGACAGTCCTCAGTAACGGCGCAGCTACTTCAACAAGAATGATGTCAAAACCACTTCTTTAATCATAATCGGGGAAACCGACCTAAAACAAGACAAAAGTACACAAGTAAAGTAAAATTGTACATTATACTTCATTAATGGACCTAACTTAAGCAAGAAAGGGCGCTTAAATATGCAATATTCCGCGCTTATCAGTTGGCCAGGCCCACGCCCGAATACCCGAGGATATAAAAAATAAAATCGGCAATAAACGAACACAGAGTACAAAAGAATAAATAGGAATAAATAATTTACTGAAAGAAAACTAAAAGAAAAATCCAATAATAAAACCTCTTAATAAATTTCCATTAATAATAAAATCATTTTGATACAAAAAATCCTCCATTAATACAACTTGGGAATCCATACTGTGTGGACCCCTAAAAACCAATCTGAACAAGTGACAGCAATAACTGTCTACAACTAAAGAACGAAGCATAAAAGAATCTCCTATGCAGAATCGGAAGAATGAAGTAGACTGATCCCCGCTCAGCACGAACAACCTCTACTCCTAACGAACACCTGAAAAATAATGGTGGGTCAGGCCCACAAACAAGTTCTACTCTACTACAATCCATGCAAAGATCCAATACACGTATACATCCTAGTCAATCCAACAGTAACTAGTAGGCCATATATATATATACACACACTAAAGGAACCTCACTAGACTATAGGGTTGTCTCAACCTGAATAGTAGGCAACATGCAAAATGTACATATAGTGGGCATGAGTACCTAGACCTACCAGGGTACACAACTACACTATATCTAGCTACACATCCCTAGTGATATACGCGCCCTAACCACTGATCATGAGATTTAAGCTCATATCATGGCACCATACTTATATATATATAATCTAGTAACCATCCTATCCGGTATAAATTAATCCTCCATAAGTCATTCAACTTGTTTAGCTAACCTGACTTGAATATAAGTAGGACTTAACATTTTAGTTAATCCATTCCCTTATATAATAAATTAATCCTCCATAAGTCATTCAACTTGTTTAGCTGACCTGACTTGAATATAAGTAAGACTTAACATTTTAGTTAATCCATTCTCTTATATAAAATAGGTAGGACTTAACTGATAAATTAATCCGTCCCTAGAATGCCACCGTCCCATACCGGTGCATTAAACTACACAATCCAACAATTGATGTAACGATCAAGGAAATACATCAAACAATCCAAAAATAACTATGATAATATGATATCAAGTTATCACAAAATAGGAATGACTTATTATTTATTTAAGCTTCCTATATCATATGTCCTATACAAACTAAATCTTATATATGATGATATTTTATTATACCGTCAAATAAGCATTCTCCATATCCAATTCATTCTACACATTTAATCTCAATTGCTAAAACATTTTAAAAGATTAAATCCATTCGTTTGTTTAAAACATTCAAATAGCAAGTATCATTATGATTGAATCTATTTAAATTTATTTAAACCCAAACCTAGTTTCTATTTAATGTTCAGGAATCCGAGGGATGTTTCTACGTTCCATCATTCCACAGATATGAAAAATACATAATTTAAACATATAAAAATTCACACCGGAAATTAAATTAAAATCTTGCATTTATCAATTCATAACACAAGAACATATATGAATCAAATTCATAAAACCTATGTTCTAATCCAATTAAACATGCATAATTATTTAACTTTTATGTGTTTAATAAATCCTGGAATTTCCTAGGCATGTACAGAAATACGAATCAAAGGGAAAGAGATAGAAGAATAACTTGCCTTAAACTTTCAGATCGAAAGTTAAACTTCTTCTTCCTTGATTTTCTCTCTACAGGTTTTTCTCCTCCTTCTTTCCTCAATTTTCCTCTTTCCCTCTCTAACTCTATCTCTCTAGAATATATCACGTGAATATTTCTAACCCCCTTTTACAACCTATAACTAAATATTTATAGGCTAAATAAATTAACCCTGACCCTTTTCCCAATCCAAGTTAACTTAAAAAAATAATAAAAATTAAAATGTTAAAAAGGTAAATAAAATATGTTACGTATATAATTTATGTATATCTTTATTAAATAAATAAATTATATACATCCCATTATTTATTAATGGATTATCCAATAATACCTAAGTTACCATAAAATTATAAAGTAACTTAAAATATAATACGTATCAAATCTATGTATATTTTTATTATTTAAATATAAAACTTATACATCAGATTAAATATTACTATCTAAGTTATCATAAAAGTAATTAATAAATTACCCATTATTTATTAATGCATTATCCAATAATACTTAAGCTACCATAATATTATAAAGTAACTTAAAACATAACATGTATCAAATCTATATATATTTTATTATTTAAATATAAAACATATACATCAGATTAAATATTACTACCCAAGTTATCATAAAAGTAATAAATAAATTACTTTCCCTTTTATATATGTATATAATATATATTTTTATATATATATATATATATACACACACACACAACTATCATGGGTAATAATACGTACCCATCCAACCTCCTATCCAAGCAGTTCATGGGACCCAATTGGTTGGCCTATTACTACTAACCATAACCATAAAAGAAAAATAAAAAATAATAATAAAATAAAAGAAAACATTTAATTTACAATTAATTAAAACACCATTTAAGCACATAATCTAATTAAACAATTAACACATAGACAAATACAAATAACACACAGACACATAATCAAATACTGAAGTAATACTTAATTCAATTAAACCCATAAGCAATTAGTCAAATAATCAATTAAATAATTAAAAATACAATTAAAACAAATAAATAAATACTGAGACTATACTTTTAAAATTAAGGGTATTTCAATTGTTGAGGGGAGAGTATGCAAAGTGGACAATATTTATATGTGTAAGCAGGTCGTGATAGATGGTTCCGAGTCATTTTCAGTCAAAAATGGAAATAACATGCACAAGCCCCTGAGGATCGGCCAAAAAAAAAAATGCTAGGTCACAAAAAAAAAAAAAAAAAGTGATTATAAAACGAATAATAAACAAAAAAAAACACAGTATTTAATCCTTTTAATATAAAAATTTAAACTTTCCACAATATCTTCCACTGCACAAACTCACATAATTATGAATCAATAAATCTAATAGTTAATCTTACACCCACCATAGAGATCATAAAATTGCCCTATCGAAAACAATTATCTAAAATATGAAACTCTACTGAAAGAGTAATTTTAAAAGTTGCAAATTTTAACTTAATTTAAAAGTTATTTTGAGTCCAGGGAAAAGGCTAATGAGGAAGTTGGGTACCAAGAGGAAGTGATTGTGATGTTTCAAATTGCGGTCGGCGAGAAAGCTGAGTTTTTACATCTTCTGAAATAAAAAATTATTGAGACTTATATTTGTGGACACTATTTAATCATGTAAACATATTTTGAGGATAATTATAATTGTTAAGAGGAGAGTATGTAAAGTGAATAATATCTATATGTATGAGCAGGTTCGGATAAATGGTTCGGAGTCATTTTCGGTCAAAAATGAAAAGAATATGCACAATCCCATCAGCAAAGAGCCAACAAAAAATGTTGGATCCCAAAAAAAAAAAAACAAAAAAAGAAAAAAGAAAAAAAAGAAGGTGATTGTAAAACGAATAATATTTACACGCCCTCTGAGTAGTGTGATTAACAAATCTATCCCAAAATAATTTTTAAAACAAAAGCGCTTTTAATGATTGAAAAGCGAACCCAAACGGGTCTAACCCAAATTCTCTTCCCTTCCTCTCGTGTCAAGCACGGCATTGCCTCAAACCCTCCTTTCGCGAGTTTCTCTCACTTGCGCGGAGCTTCGTCTTCAATCACAGAGGATAATCGCCCAGGTACCGCTCTTCTTCGTCGTCGTCTTCTCTCAACTCTCATCTATCTTCTTCTTCGCTGAACTCTCTCGTACTGTTTCTCAGCTTCACTCGCAGCTTCCACTGCAACCGATTCAGTCGCTGCCAGTACCCCTTTTGCTTCAAGGGCTTTGTTCGGGTACTCTCTCTATATACATGTATTTTCAGTAAATTTTCATAACGCTCTCTTCCATTGATGCCTTCTTCTTTGTGGTTTGTATCTGCACATTTAAATGTTTCATAAACATTGTTGAAACTGAGTTGTTCTGTGTGATTTATCTGTTATCTTATTGCTAGTTGATTTTTGTGAACAATCTGAAACTCGATTGGATTTGGGGCATATTTATTTGTAATATTGATTTATTTTTTTTCTGAATCCCCTTTTCATTAGTTTGTTAATATTCTGTCATTTATAACTATTCTGGGCCTCTATTGTGGATTGAGCAAAAATAAGATTCTTGCTAAAGTTTTTGAGAAATGTAGATACATTTTCTTGCTAAAGTTCAGTTATGAATGGAGAAACGTAGTAACACCATTTTATGCTCATCTGAACATTTCACTCCTAGCTTTACAAATGGATGAGGTGGACTAGTTATAGGCATTTTGAAAATAAAATACTGATATTTGCTTCTGATGAACATACATAAAAGATGGAATTCAGTTTTCAATAGATTTGATTCCTCATCTGATCCTGTTCTTTTTGCGCAAATTTTGGTCTAAAAAGTATTGAAGAACTACTGATACTTAAGGATTCCTCCCAACTTAAACCAGGTCTCATCCAATTCTAATCCACCCCACACAATTTGGGTAATATGGGGGATTCAGTCAGAAGTGAATCTGATTCCTCTCCATGACCAAGTGTCTTCCCAGGGTTCCAAATGCCAAAAAATAGTTAGACAGTTATTAAATATTTCATTCAATGAGTGTCCGAATAGAATTTGGCTGAACCTTTATTGCCTCTCTAGTCTCTAGAGGATCGCACATAGTGTTAAAAATAGCATTTCCACTAAGAAATCCTGGGCCTTAGTAACAATTAATTCTCAAAAATCTAGAAATGCATGCAAATATAGCCACATAAAATGTGAATGCCTAGTGACAATATTACTGTTCCCATACTGCTGCTCACTGAGAGTGATACAAACACTAAATCGAATTTACAAGTCTTTTCTGCTTGTTCATGATCAGCAATAGTTGATGGTTCCTTAAAAACTTCTACTCCTACAAGTACAAGATTCTATTGAATTTTAGTTCTATTCATGGGACATATTTAAAATTAATGTGTGAATTATTCAAAGTATGCAAGTAATATTATTGCTTCCTCCTGTATTTTTCTGATCCTCTATTGCTTCCTCCTGTATTTTTCTGATCCTCTATGGGAAAAGAAGGCAAAATAGATTCCACTGCTTATCACAGTCTCATCCAGGCCCAACAATATTTCCATCTACAAAACTACAATATAAAGTTCTTGTGATATATGTTGTTCTTCAGTTCCAAGTGCAAAAGATATAAGGAATCATCTCAATTGCACATGCTGTTTGGTTTTCGGAGTACTTTTGGACACTATTGGTTCGATTAGAATATACCATGTTGGACAAGTGTACGGTACTGGGCTTGTCAAATGGGGTGTTTAAACAGGATGACCCAGTCAAAGCCCAAATTCAGCCTAGCTTCATGTATACCTTAAGACCAATTTTTGTGTTTGCCTATGTAATGAGTATAGATTTTTCTTCAAGAAAACAACCAAGCATAAATAACTCGAAATTCTTGAAAATTTTCTACTTTTGCTACAATTCAAGAAAAGATAAGAGGAAACAAAACAAACATAGAGTATTAGCATTAAGCCAAAAGCACATCAAAAGAAAAAGGATAGCCAAAGAATTTATTGATATTATTCTTCCTTTCAACTTGAAAAGTCAGTACTCGAACTTTGTGGTAATAATGCAGAAGAATCTTGTACCAACCTAGGAGGAGAAGATAGGATGGGTTTAGGTGGAATTTGCAAGGATATAAGGCTTCTTTCCAACATTTCTACCACAGTAGTCATTGATGGGCGATTTGCTGGATTGGTCTGAATACACCACAAACTCACTATGGTCATTTTTCTTGTTGTTTCTATTTCCTCTTCACTTGTAACACCATTAAATTCCTGAATGTGTTCCAACTGCTCATAAATGCAGTCTGGAAAATATACTTCACTTGAATTGACTCTTCTAGCTTCAATATCGTTTCTTCTACCAACCATTTCAAGAACCAACATTCCATAGCTGTAGACATCAGATTTATGAGAGACCCCTCCAAAAGTCCTAGAAAATACTTCTGGAGCAATGTATCCAACAGTTCCTCTTGCACCCACCATTGACATAATACTCTCTTTCCTCTGGCCTAATTTAGCAAGACCGAAATTAGCAATTTTGGGGCAAAAGTCATCATCCAAAAGAATATTCTGAGGTTTTATGTCGAAATGAACAATCCTTGTGCTGCTACAACCTCGGTGTAATTACTCTAATCCCCGAGCAACACCGACTGCAATTTGGTATAATGTTTTGCAATCTAGACGGCATATTGAATTCAGAGATCCATCATTGTAGAGGTACTTGTCCAAAGATCCTTTGCTCATGAATTCATAGACTAGAGCCCTTTTGTTCTGCCCAGAACAAAAACCTAAAAAAGTGACTACATTGATATGGGAAGTTTTACTAATGCTAGCAACTTCGTTGATAAATTCATCTCCATTACCCTTGGTCTTGCTCAAGACCCTTACTGCCACAAGTTGACCATCTAATTGTTTTCCTTTGTACACGACACCATATCCTCCTTGGCCTAGTCTGTCTTTGAATGAGTTGGTCATTCCTTTAATATCTGAATAATGATAATGCTTTGGTGCATGGGATCCAAAATTCCTTAAAAATGCATCGACGTTTTGATCATTCATTGTTTTGTTCCTCGAGAAGATCATTGCATTACCAGATAAGCCATTTCTTTTAACGTAGTAGATGATTATCAGAAAACAAACTAATATAATTCCAAACACACCAGCTGAGATTCCTGCATGGAAAGAGTGGAAGTTGGTCATGTATTCAGATATTTATTAGATAAGCCATATCTTAATTGGGCCCAGTGTCATTAAAGGCGTGCCTAGGCTTCAGGCTCATACCGGTGCAACACTTGCGCCTGTTGTGGGCCTAGGTGCGCCTTTGACAATATTTGTGCCTTTAATATGGAATATGAATATGCTTTAATAGTAATTTAATTTTCAATTGTGCGCCTCGCTTCACTCAGGCGCGCACCTCTCCATGCGCCTAGGCTCCAAAGGATCTCTTGCACCTTAGTGCTCCTTGGCTCTTTGATAACACTCATTGGGCCTATAGATGGGCAAATATGCTGAGAGTTTATGGCCATTCAGAAATTTTTTTTTTTTCAAACAATTATTAGGACCGACGTAAGAGAATTTTTCTCATTTCAACTCAAATTGTGTGCATTATATATATGAAAAGGTTAGCTTCCCTGAATGTTTAATAAAATGAAAGGAACATGGACGCATTAGTTTTTCTGTTAGTATGTTACCTAAGGTAATCTTTAACCCTTGGTTGATCCGATCTCCAGTTGATCCTGTAACATTAGGGTAAAAAATTAGTTGGATTGGCTAAGAGGATGTTATGAGTTACTTACAAGTGTAATACATTATAATGGAAAAGGAAGATGATCTTGCAGAAAATCATAGCATGAGAGGAACTTTGTGATGGATAGTGAATATTGTAACTAGCTACATTTTTATATTAAAATTGTACATGGCAAGAAAAATACATGGATCAGAACTATAAAATCAGGAGCAGAACTCATATCTCACATAAGCAATATATCTATATATATGTATATATATGTAATTAAAGGATATGCCCCACGTCAAATATTTATTTTCTTCAACTAGGCCTCACCTCCTCCAAGGAGAGCGGTTATATTAGTTGTCTAGTTATCTGCAAAAAAAGGGGTCTCTGAGTACCTTAGGAAACACCCTGCGTCAATAGCCCTACCATCAGATGCATCTGGTGAACAATTTTCAATGTTGCCATATGCCACTGTCAAACAATTTTGGCAACCACTCTCACTAATTGTTTCAAGGCATTGTGCCGCTGCATACACTGCTGTACTACCGCCAGCCACTTCTCTCTTTGTTGCTGCAAAGAAACCATTAGTTTTGGGTGTCGCATCTTTAAGATCAGCTAACGATCGTTTTACTACCTCATCAAAAGCAGTTGGCTGAGATGCAGTATGATTGCCACATATCCCAGCATTGCCCGCACCGGTCGTCTTGAAAGAAAATGCGGCTCTCATACCTTCAAAACCGAAGCGAACTGTAAGAAACTTTATACTCTGAGATGATCATCACAAGACTTAAAGGCTCTATCCCACAATATCAATTTATCAGGCCTTGAATTTACTAGTAAGCTCATGTGCCTTCCGTACACTTGTTGAAGGCATTGATATTAATTTAAACACTGCAGATCGATACACGGACTTGAATTCAAGACATTCCAGAATCGCGACTCTTACAATGTTTGGCTATATATCAATTGCCATGAAATTTCAATCTATGTTACTCGGTATATAAGAGTACTAGGTTTTGAGAACTTGTAACCTCCATTATTCTTCACAGTTTATGTTACCTGGAATATAAGTTCTAATCTTTCAAATACACAATTTTACTACATCAGTGTTTCTAGTGCACAATTTTTACTTTTATCTTTGATTTCAACTATGTTATTTCAGCTAAGATGTATAATTTTTTTTTTCATAGTTGATACTCACACACACATGCCTCCTTGGAGGCTTGAACCCTTGACCTTCCTTTGGAAAGTAAGGGCCTGATGCCGCTAGGCCACTAGCCTGTTGGTAAGATGTGTATATATATATATATATATATACACACACGCACAAAATTTATATACATAATTTTATCTAAGATGTATAACAATTTTTACTTTGTCCACCGCTCATTTGCATCCTTCATAGAATTTGAAAGTGAGAAAAGGCATAGTTGTGTTGGTTTACTGATTCTTTTGGAATGCATCAGATGTCAAGTAAAAAAAAAACAGATTAGATTGTTTTGGATGAGTGGCACGTTGAAGACTACATAAGTAGTAGTAATTTGGAATTTTGATCACAACTATATGGTTGGCTTTATTTGTTTGGGGTTCTTTAATAAATTTTAGGAGACATCGAAAAAAAAAAAAAAAAAAAAAAAGCTTATAATAATGAGCAATTAGCAAAAAAAAGCCCATTTCTATCCCTTTTTTGCACACAACCCCCCCTTGATAGAAATTTTAAAAAATTGGGTTTTCTTTAAATTATTTCATTTTAGGCTTTCTTTTCTTTTTAAATTTTCAAAAAAATGGAAATAAAATAATAATTTGAAAATTACGTGCCACTAAAGTGATGTAAAAATGAAAAAGCCCTTTAATAGAAATTCAAGAAAATTTAGGTTTCTTTAATATATATATATATATATATATATATATATATATTCAGAAATAATTTTTAACAACACTATACTGAATAGTTATTTGTATTAATTTTAATTGTATCATTGAAAATTCATTCTTAAAAATGAACTTAAGAATCGTATTGGTCACTAGAGGGTTTGCTGCTGGTGAATGCTTTTGAATAGCTTCTTTTATTTGTCTATGGATATTAAGTCCTTTCCAAATTCTAATTTTATACGTTTCAATGCATCAGCGAAGATAAGTGATAAATTCAAATATTGTTAAGTTACCTGAGGGAGCAGCCATCATAGAAAGACCCGAGCACCATTGGAAGGGAAGCACATGCCTATCTCAGACACAGCCGCGTCGAAGCAAGCGATACAATCAGCTGTAGAGAGGAAGTTCCTGCACTGAACCATGGCAAATACCGGGTCTGACGTCCTGGCATGCTGTGACGTGGCAAAGTATGTGTTATTATTCAGAAGCTGGCTGTGGAGATCCAAGAAGGTGCCATTCAGGTTGCTGATGAAGTTGGACAGGATCGTGGCGTTGTACTGACTACATCCCGTGATGATCAGATTAATTTGTGGGTCAGATTTTGCAGTATCTGACATCCAAACAACCAGCGCCATAACAACCATCAGCCGCCGCAGTTGCCGCCACCACCACCTTTTCATTGTTGTCCTTCCCAGTAACTTGTGCAACACCATATATATACATCCATACTGGGAAGGTGGGCTTACTTGGAATTCCATCCCTTTTTTAAGGCAGCAGGAGGGCCACATTACCGTGTTGATATTATCGTGTGTCTGTTTTGTATCGTTCTTGTGATGATATTCATATTTTTAGTTGTCACTTTTAAGTGTGGTAAGAAAATCTCAACTTCCACAATTAAATTATAGTCAATCCAAGACCTTTGTATCAAAATTATAACATACCAATTACCATTTCAAAGAGTCAAAATGATTATTCTACTAGTAATACCAAAAAAAATAAAAAATAAAAAATAAAAAAATAAAAAAATTCCTTTTGAACTATGGCTCTTTATATTAGTAATTCAACATTTACATCCAATTCACACTTGGACTGGGTTTGAATTTGCCTGAAATCTTGGTTTTAGTCTAACCCGAATCAGATGGGTCGGAGTTTGAAAGATGGGGTAGTTTACTCGTTTACGCAGCGGCAGTTCGAAAGGTTGACTGGTCTAGTCTATTATACAGGTGATACGTCTCTTGACATTAGCAGCCAAAACCAAGCGCATATTAACCGCGCGTACAAATGCATAGAAACTTGAATGGTTATTAGGGCTAAAAATACAAACTCCTGTTATTTACAAAAATTATATATAACTTCCTTAATTATTTAAAAAGGTAAAGCGTACAAAATCCTCTTAAAATATGAGTCATTTCCAACTAAATCTCTAAATTATAAAAAATCTCTATTTGTTATGGGTCATTTGCAACTAAACCTCTGAAGTACAAAAAAATTCCCTATCTGGCGAGAGACTTGATCGGAAAAATGAAAAGATAAAAATACCCTTAGTAAAAGAAGTTAGTTTTGGATTTATTTAAGTTAAAGTGAATAATGTGGAAAAGCATAATTTCATGGACCAATGAAAATTGGACAGCACATCGCTTTACCACTTACATCAAACAAAACCAGATTTACGTTTAAAAGGAAGAATAAAAAAAATCAGATTTCTTGTAAAAACCAAAAACATATTATTTACTACAGTACTCTCTCTGTATGAAATGAGAAGCTCCATTGGTGATTCTCTCCCTCAAAATAGAAGATCCATTGGCGACTTAGCAGCACCTCCAAAGAATTCTGGCTAGTTACAGAGTTATTTGGATATTGAATCTCTGATTTAGATTTAAAGAGAGATGAATCTTTGATATAGATTCTTAGAGAGAGAGAAATAAAATAGACAGACATATAGTCACAGTGGGTTTGAAAAAAAAAAAATCCCCAATCGTGAAGCTCATTCTCAATCCACAATAGAAAACCCAACAATGATTTTTTGTGATGTACTGTAAATCAACAAATTCTAACAAAACAGAGGAGCCAAATAAATGATTAATGAATAAGAGGATTTGACACAATATTTTTTCTTCAGGGAAGTGTCAACGAGACTGGGTTGTTCTGGGTTTCGCTGAAATTCCACTCTTGCCGGATTGTTTCGCTACTATAGCTCTGTCACCGGCACTTCTGTTCATCTTAACTAAGACATGTCGGGGGTGTTCGGTCTTTGATTGCAGGCTCGCCGGCGACGACGTAGCAAACTCCGATGAACTAAACTCTGCAACTTTCACCCAATAACAAATAGCAATAAAGTTTCACCTTTGCAACTTCCGGCGAACAAAACCATACCAAACCAAACCCACAAGCTGTTCCGCCGGCGACGCAGTAAACTCCGATGAATCGCCCTGCGAAATCGGAGTTTCGAAACTCCGATGAACAGAGTTTCCAAGTCTTCGTTCCGATCCCTCGATTCGTACCCCAAATCCCTGTTTACTCGCAAATTGACCGGCAAAAAAGGATCCAATTTTTTGTCGAGAAAATCCCAACTTTCTCTATCCAGATTTCGCAATTATACCCTCTCTGCCGACCGTGCCTGCCATAGCTTCACTGCCATCCTTTCCCCACCGCCGTCCTTCTGCTTCAATTCTTTGCTCAGTCGGCCGAGCCCTCACCGGCCGACCTCTTCACAGCCGACCCCTCCATCGCGGCTAAGTCCTCGACATCATCCAAAGCCTAAACCGTCGAGCCCGAATTCATCCTTATCGGCCGTTCCTCTCACCGTCGAGCCCTCCATCGCCGGACAAAAAGACGATCGGCTGAGAGAGAGATATCAAACCATATATATATATATATATATATATAGACGCAAATACAAATTAGGGTAATGAATTTAGGTAATAAAGGCTTTTTGGTATTTTTGTATGACAAGAGTGAAATAGACATTTGGAAAAACAAATGGCTTACACGTGTCTAATTAAGGTCAAAAAATTTCTACTGGTGACCGAAGTGGATAAATTGTAACGAAGTACAATAACTCAGGGGTTAAATGCATCCTTTTTAATTCAGGGAGATTTATTACATTTTGACCCATAGATCAGGGGTCACTTTACCCTTATTAAAAAACCATCTGAATTAATATAAACTATCGCATTACTGCCTTTCCATTACAGAATTGTTAAGTGACTGCAAAATGACAAGAATGCCCTTGATATTATATTAATATTAATATATTATTTTATTTGATAAGTAAAAATTAATATATTAATATAATATTAATATATTAAGACGGCGGCGTAGATTTCGGCGAGGATGAACTGTAGAGTTGCACGCTAGGCTTGATTGAATCTTGAACCCTTTTTTTCATTATATATTTGAACGGAGGAGAGTTAACCCAGCTCGATTGAAGGTTCGGTGGCAAAGAGAAGTCTGTTGACTTGTAGCGGCTCAGATGGAGCCAGTCGGTGGAGATAACAAACATAGCGGCGGTGAGCAACGGTCCTCAGTGGGGCTGGCAATGGCGGTATAAAGAAGAGTCGGTGAGAAGGAAAAGGGGCTCGGCTGAGGATGATCTGTCCGGTAAGCAAGGGAGCTCGGCGGTGAGAGGAACAGCTGGCAAGCTTGGAACTGAATCGGCCATGATTGCGGTGGTGCTTGGAATGGTGACCTGAACTGATAATGATGGTTATGTCCAGCGAGCAGAGAGCTCGGCTATGATCATTGCTGGGTTTGATCATTGTTGCTGCAAAAACGTAGCCACGGCAAGGCCGTGTGCAAAGAATTGTTTCTCCATCCGACACTGGCCGTCCGTCACATATTGATCGCCGGCATCGGAATTCACTTCTTCCAGCAATCGTCTGGCATAAACGCCGTCGTTTTGTATAGCAATAAACTACTCGCGACCATGGCCGTTGGATTCGTGAAGACAATGTTCATCTTGGTGGCTATGTTTTTGCTGGACCGGACCGGTTGACGACCTCTGCTGCTCACCAACGTGGTGGGTCTCTGACTTTGGTCGGTGTGGGTCAAAATAAGTGTATTTTGGTCATTATAATACAATACATGGTGCACATGTATTTTGGTCATTAAAATACAATACATGGTGCACGTGATGATTACGTGATAAGATCCGTTAATTTTAGACGATCAACTAACGGAGAGGGGGTGATATGATATATTTTTAAAAGCATGAAGAGCTAATATGATAGTTTCTATAGTTAAGGGGGTTAGTGGATATTTTTTTGTATATAATAGGGGTTTTATGTTTTTAGCCCTTGTTATAAACCAAAAAAATAATAGGAGTATACATTTTAAGCTTACATGTGAATCAAAACAATGAACAAATTAAAACAGAAACAAATAGCTCTAAAATCTCTATCCCTACATTTCAATCTCATATTTACATACAGGATAAAAAAAAAAATAATAATAATAATAATAATAATAATAATAATAATTCAATGAAGATATATTAATTAAATTAAACAAGTGTCTGATTATCAAGCTTTGTAGTAGCAGTACTTTTGTCATCTATAAAACTTTGTTCTTCTTTAGTGTCGTGGTCACCATTGACAGTGATAGTTCCGGTGAGCACTTCAGCTCTCCTGGCTTGACTCTCCCAATCGTTCGAGTTAAAACGAACAACAACATATGAGCCCTGTGCCGCCAAAAGGCCTAGCCAGAGTCCTTTGAAATTGTAATACCGTAATTATTTATTAGGGTTTGCGTTTATTTTATTTTTAAATGATTTATTTTATTTAACTGAATGCTTAGATTAATTGTCTTATTTTAGTTAAATTATATTTCATGATTATATATGGTGATTGTTTGTGTGTATATTTTATTATTGATTGAATTGTTGCTGTATTAATTTTATTGGTATGGTGTGACTTGATTGTAAATTCTTGTTTTGTTTATGTGCTTGTTTAAATACTTTAATTGTTTTGAA